AGGGGAGGAGGAGGAGGAGGAGGAGGAGGAGGAGGAGGAGGAGGAGGAGGAGGAGGAGGAGGGAAAAGGAGGAGGAGGAGGAGGAAAAGGAGGAGGAGGAGGAAGAGGAGGAGGAGGAGGAAGAGGAGGAGGAGGAGGAGGAGGAGGAGGACTAGGCTAGATTCGGCTTTGCGCTGTGGGTCTGAAGATCCTCACCCCCTCGAGCAGTGACACCTTCACAAGGCGCTCGGGGGAACATCTGACAAGGCGTGGTTCTCGGCAAAAGCTACGAGGTCAGGGTAAAGCGCACCGTGCAGCCCTGAATTCAGACGAAGTTTCGGGACGGGTCGCAAAGAACGGAAACATGCGGGCAGGGGGCGAAAAACCCTTCGGGCCCCACAGGGGCCGAAGCCTGCGGTGCTGGGTGCACCAGGCAGGCCCCTGGAGCGCCCGAAGACCCATAATTCGGACCGCACCACGGGGAAGCAGAGCAGCGCTGGTGACGCGGGAGCCGACGGAACGAGAGCAGGAGGAGGGGCCCCCACGGCAAACCCTCAACCCGCGCACAGTGCCATCAGGACCCGAATTACCAACGACGAGCGAGGGCGAAAGAGAAGGGGGAGGGGCAGGTAGCGGTCAGCGGGCGGCGCCTGCCGCTCGAAGTATTAAACCTCGAGAGTACGATTCGCAAGAACAGAAAGAGACTTCAGCTCGGAAGGCCAAGCTCGGGGGCGAAGCGGCTGATGTCGCAAACGACTGCGATATAGGAGAATGGAATGTAGCGATCGCCCACTGGAGTATCAGACACCATATCACGAAACAAAGAATGCATCACCAGAAAATTCTTGCACCAAAAAACATGATGAAGATATGGGGCGAACGGTGAACGAGGAACTCCGATCCGTGCAGAGGTTATGTACGCGTGCCTTGGCGGCAATACGCAGTCGAAGTGATGCGATACGCCGTTCCCACGACGTGGTCGCTTGCTTCCTGCACTAGTCCCCTTTTTCGTCCGACTCAGTAGCTTCTGAACCATCTGCTCGAGGCGGCCCGCTGGTGCCGATCCGAGCTTCAGCTCCCAGGTGGGTAGAGCCTGCTCATGGAGCAACTTCGCCCGGCCTGATCCTTCGATCTGGAAGCCCTCCGCAATGCTGAACTGGAGCCTCATAAACTTTTCGTTGTAGCATCGCCGAACGCGAGAGCGACGAACGACCAGGGCCTGGTCCTCCAGCGATACTACGAAGAGGAACTTCGTGTAGAACGCTATCACTGCCCCGTGTGGTTCCAGCAACCCTTCGGCCTCCTTCTCATCCACCGTGGCCTTGAACGCGGCGCGCCCAATACATACATATATATATATATATGTATAAATACATATGTATATATATATATAGGTGAGGGGGCCGAGCTTTGCTGTGAGCTCCTGGACTGCGGCCGCCTCGGCGCAGGACTTGCCCGCCGCCTTCGCGGCGTTGACGACGCAGCAGTCGACTGGCAGCACGAGCGACATCCACTCGGGCGCCACCAAGTCCCGTAGCATCTGCGCGCGCTGGCACGCCACCTTGAGGAGCATAAAAGAGCGCTTGACATGTCTTTGCCCCGAAGGGCTCCCCCGACCTCGGCGAGGGCGTCGCCGGCGTCGTCTGCCAACTGCCGGAGCTTCTTCTTCTTGTTTGGCGCCTCTCTTCTCCCGAGGCGGCGGCCCCCTCCTTGCGCCCATTTGCCCTGGCCAGCAGCGATCCCAGGCCCACCTCCATCGGGCAGACGAGGGCGAAAGATGAGAACGAGACAGCACTGGCGGCGGAAGGTTGCAATGAGATCGAATGCGCACTTGCGCGCCCAGCAGATCCCGGGCCTCGAAGGCGCGGGCGACTGAGCGTGGATGGAACAACAACGTCGCAAGAGAGATAAGTACTTCTGCACACCGAACAAACGTTCCTCCGATAAGACCTCGCGGCGCGTCGCTGCGCTGTCTCTCGAGACCCCAGGACTTGCAAGCTACGAAAGCATTGACTAGTCACGGTCAGCAGGCTCGCTTCGCCCCTAATGTGGCGGGCCCTGCCCGCGCGGAGCAGCAGCGGCGTCATGGGCGCGAGCCCGCCCCGCAGACAGAGCCGTCGATCGTCGACAGGTGGCATCTGCAGTCGTTCGCGTCGCCGCCCCCCCCCCCCCCCCCCACGCCACCTTGAACCTCCTGAACGGATCCTGGAAAAGGAACGGCGCGGAAAAAGGCGCGCGCCCCGAGGACCGTGAAATCGAGATGGGCCCAGCTTGCGAACTCGTCGTCGTAAAACTGCCGAAGGAGTGGGCATCCCGAGGGGGCGAGTTCCTGGAACGCCTCCGGAGCCTCGCGAGCGCGTCTCAGGTCCTCCAGCACCTGGGCGGCCCAAGAGTTCGCCTCCGAGGTCAGCTTCCAAGAGGGCGAGATCACGCGTTGCGGACCCAAACATCCCAAGAAACTCGCGCGCACCTGTCTGCGGGCCTCGGGATGCCGACACCAATCCTGGTACCACTTGAGACGGCGTACTCGTATTTTGGAGGCGCGCGACAGCATCCTCCAGTGGGCAGCCAGGCGGGCCGAAGTCCAGCGACGACAATCGCCATCGTCGCGACGATCCAACCCCCGAGCCCCCATGCCTCGTCTCATAGCTTTCAAAAGTGCGTTGTCGGCACCCTCGCAGAAAGACTCATCGGGGACGCGAGCTCCCATTCCAGATAGCAGGGGAGCTTGTGCACATGCAATGATAGACATACGCTTAACACTCAAGACAGCGGGATGCCGAAGAAAATTTGATATCATCCGAAAACCAGTCCGACCAGCTTAAAGTCGTTCCTGTTTCTCGACGTCGAGGGGCCCCGTCGCCGTTATCCAGCCGCCCAAGATACGCATGAAACGCCGTACCTTCCCAGGGCCCCAAGGGCCCCGCTGCGCGGGGGGCGCCCCTGAGAAACCGAGCCAGGATCAGCGAGGGCACCACCGAAACCCTTTGTTTTGGGTTGAGCGAGACTCGCATATCGCCCATCGTCTCTTGGAGCAGCTCGCTGCTCGCCCTCGCCTGCGCCCGCAGTGCGCGAGCGTCGCAGCCCCCCCCCCAAAAAAAAAAGGGTGGCGGAGTCCGACCTGCGATGACCAGCTTCGCGATGTCATCGGCGAACAGCAAGATGCCCACGTCGGTGCTCGGCTCGCCTGGCTCCAACACCGCTGCGAATGCCTGGGAAGGCGCGCGCCCCCTGGCCGCGCAGACGGGCCCCAAGCCCTTCTGGCAGCAGAAGAGAAAGCCACGCGCGGCGCTTGGATGGCCCATCAGGCCCCCAGAAGTCGGTCGCATCGTGATCGTGGCGTCGCCCGTCGCAATCTGGACGGCGCTCACGGTAGTTCTTTGAATCTGAAAACGGACGTCCTCAGGTAGATAAAGCAACGGCAAAGCATCCAGAACCACGTCGCGAGACACGATCGAGAACGCATTCGTCGCATCCTCGTCGGTGGCAACGCGTGCGCGCGCGCGGGGTGGAGTGGCGGGGCGGCGCGCGGGGGGGGGGGGGGGGGGGGCAATCTTCCATCTCCCGGAGGTGCAGGCGCGAGTAGCGATGGCATCTTCCCGTCTGCGTCTCTTGACAAAGCCGCGGCAAACATAAGGCAAAACCTCGCGATGAGAGCGAGCACGAACCCATACATGAGAGCCCCATGCTTCTCCCAGCGGGCAAAAGAGATGAACCCCGCGGGAACCCTCGGCGCCAGGCAGACCATTTCGCTTATCAAATCCCACGCAAGGGGAGCCGTCGAAGATCAAGGGCGCCATCTGCGCCCTGCGGAAACAGGCCAGCACGTCCGCGAAGCGTTCAATGAAGGCGGTGCCCGTCTAAGGTCGCAGGCCCGATCCTAGTCCACCGCCCTGGAAGTAGTTCCACTTCTCCCCGCCAGGCAGTAAAAGCCAAGCCCCGGAAGGAACCGGCCAGGCAGGGGTCGCGCGCCTCTTGGGGGCGCGTCTGAGCTTCTTAAGAATCCTGGAGAAGTCTGCGGTCGCATCATCCAGATTACAGTTTTGCTTGGCATTGTACCGAATCTCATAGTTGACATTCCAATCGCCGTTAAGCCCTCGTTCAAAGCGCTCCAGTAATTCGGCGGAAAGATCAGAAGATGCAGCACTGAGACCGCCGTTGGTCGCGGGCCGACACAAGCAACCAGCGACGTCATGCGCCTCGGCCTGTTCGGAGCGCGCAACTAAGTAGCGTCTGTGCCTGGGGCCGCGCCCCTTCCTGGCGAGTCGGCGGATCAGTTTCTGAGCCGCGAAGTGATCTTGAGCGCCCCATGCTTGACTCAACTCCGCAGTGAAGTCGGCATTTCTCTGTCTGGTGAGCGCGCGCGAATCGTGTCTGATTCTATAAATCAACCTGGCCAACAGCAGTTCAAAGGCCCCCTCAGCGGGCAGTCGGCTGGCCAATGAAACGTCCCCGAAGAGGCTTTCTTTCACGTAGTAGTTGAGACCTCGTGTACTCCAGTTCCGGGGGTCGGTTTCCTTCTTCGTCTTGCACTCGAGCGTGTCTTTAGATGAATCCCACCAGCCCTTTAGGGCGTCGGTGGTTTAACGAGTTTCCTCTTCCACCCCTCCCTCTTCCCCTTCGGGGAGGGGTTTACCCCTCCCCCTACCCCCTCCCCACTGACCTCGACAGGGGCAGGGGGGGCCGCGATCGGTCAGAGCGTCCAAGATCGACCCCTGGGAGGGCTAAAATTCGACACCCCTCACGAGGATCGTGGCTCCTGATGGGGGGGGCTGAAATTTAGGAACCCCCCTTCGTTGATCGATCTACTCCAAGATGGCTCCGAGAGAGACGTCTTGGACCCCCTCTTGGGCCCTGCGCGCGGGCAGGCGGAGCGCCGCCCGCCCGCCCGCAAGGCCCAAGAGCCCACCAAAACGTTCGAAGATACTTCCAAGACGCCACCAGGGAAGAGGAAGATGAGGAGGAAGAGGGGGAGGAGGAGGAGGAGGAGGAGGAGGAGGAGGAGGAGGAGCAGGAGGTGAGGGAGGAGGAGGAGAAGAGAAGGAGGAGAAGGCGGAGGAGGAGGAAGAGGGGGAGGAGAACAGCTGCCGATCATCGGCGCTCTTCGTTCGAGCGCCTGGTGTAGGATGGGTTGGTGGGGATACGCGAAGCGTCAAGAATTAATCATAAGCGAAGCAATGGAATTGTACACCTCATCTGGAATTGCCTTCGTACATAATTTCATCCAGTCGTCATCAGACATACCGAGCACAGAAGCAAGAATGTGCTCGATATACTCCGCACATGCCCGCCATGTGGTAAGTGACGCCATGATCCAGTCAACTCCCAGCGATGCCGAAACCGCTGAAACTGTGACCGAAATTCGGATTGAAACTCGATGCGTAACGGGTGGCCATCTCGGTCTCCCAGCGCGCTGATTACCTGCAGCCGTCGTCCTGCCTGATGAAGAATTTGGCACTTCACGAAATGAGGTTTCAACGCCTGTGGGGTATGAGTGAAATCGATCCGAGATGTAACACCTGCGGTTCCAAAAAAAAATGGGCCCCAAAGAGTAAAAACTATCGCATGCACACATATGGTGGTCAATCAACAGTTGGCGCCAGAGCCGCCCCGCCACCCCCTCGACTTCGGCGCTGTAGGGACCGACGGCCTCATACTCGTCATCCTGCGCGACGGCGGCTGGAATAGGGGAGCCCGCCCAAGTCATACCCCGAGATGTTCCGAGTCCCTCGTTCAAGTCAATTCCCAGAATCGGCGTACAGCGTGCGCCCACGGAAGAGAGGAGATGGCGAAACCATGCAATTAGACGTTGGACGAGCTGTCGGCGTTCGGATCGCCGTCCTCTCTAGCCCTCATGGTCAGGAAAATACATCGTAACCACTAGAGACTCAGACTCAGGCGGGCCGCACCACACCGACCAGCAAGCCCCGCGGGGGGCGCGTAAATTGTCACCAAGAATCTCTGTGGAAAAACTTTCTTGTGAAGCATGATGCTAGTCCCGCAAGCCCTGTTCGATGCTCTCGAGAACCCGGAGAACATTTCGTAGTGCGATTTGTGACGAAACAAACTGTGATCGTCCTCTCCCTTGCGTCGGGCGACCCCCTGCAAAAAAAAAAAAAAAAAAAAAAAAAACTGCGGCCATGTTCGAAAATCGGTCGAGATTTCCTCGGCCCTGGTGCCGCACATGCGCATGGGGTTGTAGGAGACCACCCGCAACGTCCTATGCGAGTGCGGGGGCTGGTCGTCGTTATGTGTCATGTAGCGCACGAAGGTGATGCCCGCGATGCAAACGGCGAGGAGCCTGCGACCGTGGGGCACGACGCCCAGCACCCCCATCATGGCGCCTGCAGGCCCCGCAGGCAAGCAACCATCGCTGCCGCGGCACGGGGTGCCTCTGACGTGCGCAGCAGCCGCGTGGGGTGGGGTGCCTGTGCCGTGGCGGCGGCTGGAGGAGGAGGAGGAGGACGAGGAGGAGAGAAGGAGGAGGAGGAGGAGGGGGAGGACGACAACAGGTATGCGCAGACGGCACACGAGGCGCCCACGAGCGCTCACGGGCGGGCGCCAGGCAAGACTTCTCCACACCCACCCACGACACGAGGTGCCCACGGGCGCCCACCAACCGGGCTCCCCTCGAGGAGCCGGCCGCGCCCAGCGCAGTAGCGTGCGCAGAAGAGGTCACGACCCTCACGTGACTTAACACTGTTTGCCGTGGGGAGAAATGCTGTTTGTTGGCGGCCGCTTGAGTGTCCCCTCTGGAGGCCTGGAGGGAGGGGCGGGGGGAAGAGAGAAGGAAGGCAGGGGCCGGAGGCGGCGAAAGGAGGGAGAGTGCCGAGAGAGGAGGAGGAGGAGGAGGAGGAAGAGATGGAGGAGGAGGAGGAGGAGCCACCCCCGGAGCACGGAGGCCCGATGAACTGGTGTCGGCGTCTTCCTCCTGGAGGCAAGAAAAGCGCGCGGACAGGTTCAACAACAGATGGAACAACCTCAGTGTCGTCCACAGGCTGCCAAAAGATGTCCCCATACGTCCGTACGTATAAGATAACGCACCTGCGCTGACAAACCATTCGAGATCCCAACTCATTCACTCACTCGTGCCATACGCCAGAGGGCGTGTGTGGACGAGGGCATTGCCAGCCCGCTCTTGCCGCTTAGCGACAATGGCGGTACGCCAGCGCTTGCCTAATTGACAGTGTGCGTGGCAGGAAGAAACAACTGCATAAACATAAACTTCTGGAGGTCCACGCGGATCCAAGAAATCCGCGAGGACCGCCAAAGGTTAATGTTTATGCCGTTTGGGGTTCTTCGAATGGCAAGAGGAGGAGATCCCAGCCTCTTCCGTGAAGCCTCCTAGATGGGGTCGGAGCAGATGGGGTCAGAGGATCGCGCCGCATCGCCGATACATCGGCGATGCATCGGCAATGCATCGGTGGTGCACCGGCGATGCATCCTAGACTTCGGCGATGCATCGGCGAAGCCGACGTGAAGCAGATCGGGCCCCACATCGAGCCGCATCGCCGATGCATCGGCGATGCGGCGATCCTCCGACCCCATCTGCTCCGACCCCTTCTATGACGAACGAACAACACACACCCATACCCATAGGAAGGTCGTTGGGAGGAGGACTGGCTATGGGCATGGGTGCGGGTTGTCGGACCCTGGGGAACGCTCCCGTTCGAGCGGGGACCCCCATCCGACAACACGCACCCATAGCCCTCTTCGATCCCCCTATGGGTATGGGTGTGTGTTGTTGGTTCGTCATTCTAGAAGGCCCAGAGTGATCCTCACCTTCCTCTCGCCCTGCCGCCAGGAGTCTCTCCGCCGGTGCTCCCCTTGCGGATGTCCTCCCGTGCCCGCCCTCCTTCCGGCGCGAGGGGCACAACACGGATGCGCCCTGGGGCTCTGTGCTCCGGCAGAGGGCAACCAATCATGGGCACTCCCCCACTGTGGGCGGGAGAAGGCAGCATTCGGGCGTAGGTTCTGGGACCGGCAGGAGGCAATTTTGGGGGTAGAATTAGGTCGGGCCCCGACGGTCGGGCATGTCTTCCTACAAGCGGGCTTTGGGCGAAGCATTTAAAACACCCAAAAATATCACCCGATAGCAAAAAAGCAAAAGTCGTCCCCATACTATGTTTTGACTATGTTTGATTTTTCCTCCTGTAGAGGGACGTCCCCGACTTCAGGGTAGAACCGCGCAGCGCTCCTCGTCGTTCCTCCAGGCATGCAGGGCGTCGCCAGCGTGTGTTAGAGCTGTTACCGTGTTCTCTGGCTGCATCAGCGCGCGTGTCCAGCACCGCTCCGGGAGCGCATCGCCGGGGCGATCGGACACGCGGCGATCTCTGGTTGCAATACTGCAGCGGGAAACGATTAACGGACACTCCCCCCTTCCCCCAAATCCAGAGTTGGCACGCGCGGAGGAGACTGCAGTCGTGAAACTCATCAGACCCACCGCCAATTTGGAACATGGGGGGGACGGGGAAACGTTGACCGATGAATGAGGCATGAGTGCTCGCTTTTTTCCCGAGGTCTGTTGGAGGGCATGGAACCACGGCCTGGTAGCGGCGTAGACTCTGTGAGGCTCGATGGTGAGATTTCTCAAGCCGCCACAAAAGAAAAGCAACCTCAACCAACCACCCGAACAGCATTAGCTCATCAGCTCCGCCCATGCGGCAATAAGTACCCGACCAGTCACGAACTAGCTCACATACGATGTTCGCAAGTCTGGGAATGCTGATGGGGTGGGCTGCTGCTGCTGCTCAAATTACACCCCGCGGAACTGCCCGAGAATGTCTCGCGGAGTAGTCCGCGGGAGGTTTTCGGGACCTTTCCCCCAGGGCCCCCCCTTTCCTTTCCCGTCACAAAAGGAATCTATGTGTACCCCCTACAAAGGGAATATGTTTGTAATTCCGCCACACAGGGAATCTACTTGTAAGTCCGCCACAAAGGAAATTAATGTGAGCGTCCTCCACAGGGAGGAGGAGAGAGAGAGAGAGAGAGATAGAGACAGAACGATGAGGAAAACAAGCAGAAAAGAAGAGAAGACGGGCGCCCCCGTGTACATTCTTCGGGACAAGAAAGCAGGGGCACCGATATGCCCGTGCACCCATATATATATATAGAGAGAGAGAGAGAAGGAGAGAGACAAAGAGAGGAGAGAGGGGGAGAGAAATAGCAATAGAGAGAGAGAGAGAGCGAAAGAGAGATTTTGAACACCAAGGGGGCGCGGTTGTTCGCCCACTGGAAGGGGAGTTTTCAGTTGGCCCCCTTGACTGCCCCCCCTTAGGAGGGACTCTCGTTGATGGGTCCTTGTGAAGCCACAACCAGAAGAAACATGCACAGACGATTGTGCACGGATGTCAGAAACCTGGGCGGTGGCTCATGCGGGGTGAATTCGTTTTTGGACGCCAAAGCCACCCTTCGGGCCGCAACAAACACATGCAACGACTCAAACCTCGAGAAAAGAAAAACGAGCGAGCGACTTGATCCACACACTCGCCCGCTTGACTATGCAATATATCTGGAGACCAGGTTTAACTGCCTATGGAAGAAAGATTGCGCTCCCCCATTGCGCTAAGACTGGAGGGCGCACTCAATCATTGAGCCCACCGCGCAACGGCCAAATCCATTCGGAGGCGCCACAAAAACGCTCCGGCGCCAAAAACACAGAGAAACGGAAGTGATGCGCGGAAGCCACAAACATTGCCCACGCACTGAGGCCCAAAGCGTGACCAGAATTCAGCCTGAGCGCTGGCCCGTCGTCTCGCAAAAGACTCGCGGCGTCTGAATATATTCGAAGAAGGGGAGGTCGCTGCACAGGATACCTGACAGAAGCTCGAGGGCCGGTGGCGCGTCCCAACGCACGAGGCACCCCCCGCCACATTTCGCCGAGGTCTGGAGGCGATGGGCCCGGAGACCCCGAAGGAGCAGTGCAAAAAACGGAGAAACACAACCACTCCGTCCTGGTTCGCGGAGGTGCTGCAGCAGCCACGGATGGAATCGTCGGCGCGGGTCCGCCCCCGACGTCGCGGGCGTCGTCGCTTGACTCAAGCATCGTCACCGAAGAGATCCTCCAGATGAACTCCCGCGTGCACTGCTTGAGGTGCTTCTCCCCCGTGGTCGACGGCCCGGATCCTTTCGCCATGCATGGTTTCGAGTGGTTGGCCAGCCTCCGCCCTGCCACATAGATCCCACATCTCGAACGTACGCGCGTGGAGCCCAAATTCGGGGACGGTGGGAATGGTGCGGGACGGGTGGGCCCTCGATAGAGCCGTCACTGATGCCGTGGGTGCTCGACGCAAACCGGTGCAAAGACCACACATCCAGCCAACCCAGCATGGTTTGATCACACATGTGTTTGCATTATGTCTGTGGGCTCTCCTTCGAAATTCCAAGCAGCGCTCCCGACCCCTTTGCCACCCCCGGTTGCCGCGGTCAACGAAGGCCAGGCTTTGTCGAAGTGAATATTAAGCCCGGACAGAACACCTGGGCAAAAAAACCCGAAGGGAGGTGCCCAAGTTGCCTGCGTGAATTCACATGCAGTCGGACCTCGCAACATGAGCGGCGGCACAGACCCGCCCCAGGCGTCACATCTGCACCGCCGTTTCACGATGCCTCGAGATGCCACCCCGAGACGTGTCGTGGGTGCGGGCGAAGCGAAGCCGCGTGGGCGGGCGAAAAGAGTGAACCCTCCTCTGGCAAGAGCGCCGCCAGACCAAGAGACCGCCCCCCGGGCTGGCCGGTCAAGGCCAGGGGCGTTCCGCAAATGACCCGCGGGTGTCATGTCGGTGTCCCGTCGGTGTCCCGTCGATGTCCCATCGGTGCCCTGTCGGAGTCCCATCGGTGTCCGTCGGTGTCCCGTCGGTGACCCGTACTTAGATCTAAAGTGGAAAGCCATTCGTGAGACCGATCGTAAAATCGATAATGATATCGATTCTGGAACGGATAATGAGGTCGATATTGAGAACGATGCAATATCGATTGTTATATCGATAGTAAAGATCGATTGTGGGATCCGTCGTATTTCCGATGGCAAAAAGGATAATGAGATCGAATGTGAGATCGATCGTGAGATCCATCGTGAGATCGATACTGGGGTCGATCGGGTGAGATCGTTAGTGCTGTTTCGTCGGTGCCACGCTGGTGTCCCGTAGTGAGCTCGATCGTGGCATCGATAATCAGACCGAAAGTGAAACCAATGGCAAGATCGATGGTGAGATCGGTCGTGAAATCAGTGAGATCCACTGTGAGATCGATAGTGAGGTCGATAGTGAAAGCAATAATGAGATCGATTGTGAGATCCATGGTGACACCGATGATGAGATCGATAGTGAGATCGATAGGGCGATCCACAGTGAGATCGACAGTGAGAGGGGTAGTGCGATCCATTGATCGAGATCGATAATTCCGTCCCGTCGGTGTCCCGTCGGTGCCCCGCATTGAGGTCGATAGTTAGATACATAGTGACAACGATCGTGGAGCCGAACGTGGAATCGATACTGAGATCGCTGGTGAGATCGTTTGTAAGCTCTATCGTGAAAGCGTTAGTGAGATCGATGATAGGACAAATCGTGAGATCGATCGTGGGATCGATCGTGAGATCGGCTGGGTGAGACATTGGTTCGTCCCCGCCCCCCGAAACTCCTGACCACCCGGAGGGTGGTCGTATAGGTACGATCTCGGCCTGCTTGTAGTTATTATTCTCCTTGAGATCGACATCCTTGGCTACATCTCAGAGCGCCATCGCAAGGCGAGACTGGATGGCCGCACCCGCGGCATCGATCAGCCCATCAGCCCCGCGGCACTGGCCACAGCATCTGGCACCGAGACCTGCGTCGCAAGATATTCCAACGCCTTGTCTGCCGCACCGTGGGCCAGAAAATGCACCAGATTGACACCGTCCGCGACGGCCTCACGCGGGGCAGTGTGCGACCCGATCTTGACCGCCGCAACCTGCCTGCGAGAAGTACCGTCGAAGATGGAGGCTAAGTTGGACAAAAGATCCTGGTTGGAACCCTCCTTGATGCCAATTTGCAGCTCGACGAATGGCTGCCGGGAACGCTGTCACCTTACCCCTGTCGCCGGTTTGTCCGTCTTCTGGGAGAAATCATCCTTCCATCATCCGGGCCAGCTGCGTGCCATGAGTCAGCGCCAGCTTCATCAACATGATCTGTACAATACACCGTGGCCCAGGCAACTCTGCGGAACCGTCTGTCACCAGAGCGTTCCCCGCTACCTGCTTCGCCACGGGCAACAACTGGCCCCTGAGACGGGAGCGCGGGGCGCAGTAGCCCGGGCCCCTGACAGACGTGACGAGGCTCATCGGGAGGCCGTTGGACCGGACGCCAACCCCGCGGAACGATGCCTCGGCATCAAGAGGGAAGGAGGTACATGCCCATGTTCTTTGCTTTCCCTCTCTAGCGAATCCGAAATGATCGAAGCCCCTTCGATGCAATCACACACTGATTATACGCATGGCGGTCGGTCTCGGGGAGTTTGCACCGTCATCGACGTCTGCCAATGGAAATTGAATGCCCGCACCGATGGCATATGTCAAATGTCAACGTGCCCCCCGTCATGATGGCCCAAATTGCCCCCGCGTGATGCATCTACGGTGGGCTGGCCAGGTCAGGCATGCGTTCAAGTCCGTTTCCTTGTCATGAGTAATGAGCAGGCCAAAACCACGTTTGTCGTCGAACCGAATTCGCCAATGCTACTCGCAAGCCGCGGACGTCAACCTGCTGCCCACAAACTTGAGAGATGCATCAGCAAGAACCCATTCAGAATCCAATAGCTCGGCACTGTTAGATGTCGCAAGACCGAATGCCGTCCGCCGGTGGCGCTGGGAGCGACCGGCAGCCGTCGGATAGCTCCATTCCGAGCCCGTTGAATACGCAGCTCTGGGATGGTCGCGTCGGGGAGTATGACAGCCCACGATTTGAAACTTTTGAACGTGGTCGAGATCCATGGGTCTGTGTCTCCTAATCCCGTGGAGCTGGCAGCTGTAGAGGGCTCCTGATTACACTGCCAAAGCTCAGCACATGCTATCTCTACTCGAACAACGCCGCAATATGAGAACCTCGCTGGCAGTTGTGGCACCTTAGATGTTTGAACGCTTATCGGAGGAGATCTGCATGCCCAGCAAACACCTTCGGCCCCTTAGACGTCAGTATTTCAAGCAGTGGAGAACTGATGTTACTGACGAGCTGCACGAGGCCATGGAGTTGTCTCGTCAAGCTGAAGTGGCCACGCTGTCTAGGCTGGTCTGCTTGGGAAACGGGCCCAACGAAACGGAACTACAGACGTCTGCCTGCAGCCCTTCCCTCTTGCAGAGAGCTGCAAGGCGCCGTAGTTGCTCATCGGTAAGCCGCCCAGGGGGAACAGCTGACCTGCGACTGCGATGTGATTTGGTGACGATTTAACGGATCGATGAATCTTGAAAATACGCTTGCCGAATTTGATGTGGCTGCTCCATTTTTCAATGGCGTATCCATGCTATTCGTCCTCTGTCTATATCAAGTGTCGACCGCGACAAAGTCCACCCGAAGAGGGGTATTACCTCGTCTCGCGTCCTCTATGAGGGCATTGGCAAGATATGTGAATGATGGTGTGATCGTGTAGGTGGTCAACACCACCAGACCTGCTGCAACACATCTTGTTGCGAGAGATATGCCAACTTGAAACACAACACAGAGGGTCGAGGAACAACGTATCCTCTGTCTGCTGTATCAAATGATCCACTCACAGAAAGCTGCGTATCGTATCTGCTAATTGCCTGCTGTCTCGCAAAGGAAATACAAAGCGCACCTGCCTCGATCCACTGCTGCAGTACTCCAGCCACCAGGCTCAGATCTACATGCGGAAAGTCAGAACAGCAACCCGACCCACGCATGATGCGACAGCACCTGTGCGTCAACACCTCGAATAACAGGGCACGTCTAGGTAATTCAAGCTTGAAGACCATCTGGATGGCGCGCACCCAATCTAGTGAGTCACAAGGAAGAACCTAAATTGTTTGTCGTTTCCGTGTTGTCTTCGTTTTCCCTAGTTCTGTCTTCAAACCGCCTTTGCTGCAAAACGAATTCGAAACGAAAACGGCCCACGAAATCGCCAAAACACCGTTCAGGTCCACCCAGTCTGGTGAGTTATACAGCCCTCAAACGTCCCAACACGTACTGATGCGGTGCAGGTGCGTGGCGTCCGGGAAGATGATGTTCTCGTCCTTGAATGCTCCGGCGGAAACAACTTGTAGAGCTGGGTTGTCTGCGACCACCGTGTCCCAGACACCCGCACGTTGAGCCGCCCAAGCGACAGAGGGCAAGAGAGAGAGAGAGGAGAGAACGAGAGGGAGAGAGATGTACCCAACTCTGCGATTAACGGAGCTTCAAAGGACCATGACCCAAACAATGTGCTTACGGAGTGAGCAGCGCAAGCATGGGCAATGAGTCGAGGGAGCGTGCAAACGGTGAAGTGTTTCACATGGTGCCCGCGACGGAATATCGGTTTCTAAGCTTTTCTGTGGGCAAGAACCCTGCCAACGACACGAACCTGCGCGATTAAACCGGAACGGGCCCAGCCAACGACTTGAACCCACGAGAATGACGAGAAACGAAGCCTGACAACCGCGCACACTTGGTTATATTGCGCGGGGAGAAGCCTACCGCCCACTGAGAAGGACCACGCACACATACACACACACACACTTGTGGCGCGAGGCCCAAGTGTTCTGCGATGGAGCGGAACCAGAAAGGGGAGGGGAGGGGGCAGGAAGACTGAGGAAGGGGGGGAGAGAGGAAAAGGGGGGGGGCAGGAAGAGGGCAGAAGAGGGGGAGACAGGGAGGGGAGGGGAGGAGGCAGAACACGGGGAGAGGGGGAGGGGAAAGGGCAGAGGAAGAGGAGACGGAGGGAGGACAGCGGAGAAGGAGGAAGTGAGAGGGGAGGGGAAAGCGAAGAAGGGGGAGGGGAAGGGGTGCCTGGACAGCCGTGCAGACATTCGATTTGGGTACTCCTCCGTCCTGCGGGTGCACCAAACCTTTGGTGATCAGCGGGGTCATCTGGCCCGCCACGCCAGGGGAAGTGAGCTTTGCGTACGCGATGTTCCTCTGCGTGCTGCATCGCCCAGCCAGATGGTCAACACTCAGCAGTGCATTCGAAACACCAATCGGTGTCATGACGCCTGATTCCCAAATCAGTGCTTGCACTGAAAAGGTCCTAGCGGAAATTGAAAAAATAGGCGAAAGTGTCCCGCCGATTATGTTGGCAGGCTGGGTTCCCGAATTCCCAATTCTGGGTTCCGGGGTTCGTGGCCGTTGGTTCTGGTCCGATTTCTGTGGGTTCCGGGTTCCCGGGTTCCCTGGTTCCTCGTCGATCTCCTTATCGATGTCTTTATCGATCCCATGTCAAACCATCCACTGATTGGGGTTTCTCTCAGGTGCAATTGCGACAAATCCACCATCCACATGTGGAATTCACGTGACTAGAAAAGAACACCGCCATCAATGTATCCGCGAAGGCACACCACATGACTCCTGGACGGCACAGCAAAATAGAGGCATCATGCAGTCCACCAATCGAGACCTCCATACTTACGCTCTGCTCACATGCTGTCCAGTGCATGCAGTCCTCGGCGTGCTGTCAAGCTTTTGCCCGCACAGCACAGCGCTGCAAAGCTCTTAGCGATATAATCACGTAGTCTAAGAGAGCACCTCACCATCAGGGTAACAGCCCATGTGGGCCCAAAGACAATGTTTCTGAAGGGGTCCCAGGACACACAAATACATACACACAAATACACAGATTCCCCATGTTTGTCCATATTTTTTTGGTTATCGTCTTCCCTCACGTATTTTCCCATATTTCCGGGGAGTCGACGATGAATTGTGTCTGTGTTTGTTTCCCTCCTGAGTTCCAGGCTCCTGGCGGGAGGCCTCCACCCCTCTGCTTGGGTCGACGAGGGCACGCGCGGTTCCCAGGCGGGCCTCCAGAGAGCCCACTCAGGGCCCCAAGGGCCTCGAGAAACGCGCCAGGAGAGCTCCGAGACGGTCCCAAAAGGCTCCAGCGAGACCTCCCAGATGGCTCCAGGTTGCGAGTCTCCGGGGACTGCTCGGGCCGACTTTTCATAATCCGAGCTCCGAACGAACACGCCCCCGACACATCCCCAGGCACGCCTCGCGGCCCGTCCCCGGGCAATTCCTCAGCTACGAGCCTGAACGCATCCCCTGGCACGGCCCCGGGCACGTCACCTGACGTCCCCTGGCACGTCACAAGACACGCCCCCTGGCACGGTCCATGGCACGTCCCCTGCCACGTCCTCGTGCACGCCCCGTGACGTGTCCCGTGGCACGCCCATGGACACGCTTCCTGGCGCAAACAGTGGCACGCCCCCTATCACGTCTCCAGATACGCCACACGTCCCCTGGCACCTCCGACGCGCCCCCTGGCACGACCCCCGACATGACCCCCTCACTGACACGCACGACCCACGGACATCTCTCCCTGGCACGTCCCCTGGCCCGCGCCCCCTGGCACTGCCAGGACACGTCTCCTGATGCGGCCGCCTGGCAAGTCCACTGGCTCGGACCCCTGGCCCGTGCCCTGACATCTCCCCTGTCTTGTCCCCTGAAACGCCCCTCGGCAAGCGCGCCGACACGGCCCCTGGCACGACCCTTGGCACGCCCCTGGCACCCGCCCCTACACACGTCCAGACGGGAGACGTCACCCCCCCGAGGATGGATTATGTGGTGACGTCAAACTTCGATAGCTATCATAACCCCAAAGCGAACGCTATCAGAAAACCTCACCCGGACAATAGCGAGAAGCGCTGATTATCTCAGCTTGCGCGCGTACGCGCGCATGGATTTGCAACCTACGCGCATGCGTGCACATGGACGCAGTCGCAGGGTTCCCTTAAGTGCCCAGGTGGTCGCCATTGGTAGCTCGTGTTGAGTGGTTGCCTGCGGTTGCGTTGGTCAGGTAGTGCGCATGGCCTATGCTTGTGCGTGCGTGTGTGCGTGTGTGCCTGTGTGCGGCTGTGCGCGTAAGTGCGCGTGTGTGCGCGGGCGTGTACAAGGTGTGTGCTAGGCCCCCTGGCGGGGCCATCAGGCTGCGAGGATTAGGTTTCAGTGCCCTGCAACAGTTGCAGTTTCCAGCCTCCAATGTCACAGTCCTGGTTTCTGCTTTCTACTGTATTGTTGATGCCGACGAGGCACATTATGTGACGAGCAAGCTGTGGCAGTACAGAGCGCTGGGCAAATGTCCGCCACTCTGCGATCTCTACTCGTCGCACCCGACGGTGCAGTCACGTGCGTCTAGTCGCACCCGACGTCCTTCGTACGCGCCCAGCTCGGAGCAGATGGAGGCCCGGTATCACGCTGCACCCTGTTGGTAATGAATACCTGTTTGGATACCCCTCGCAAGTAGGACTTCCAAGACGCCACGTCGCGAGACTGGTCTAGATCAGGGCAATGCCTGCTCCAGAGATTAGGCGTGCAATTGTCGCAGACGCCTCCACCCCCGCACGGCTTCCCAGAGCGGGACATTGAAATATTACAGCAATCGCGGTCCGTGTCACTCTCGTTGAAAATGGGCTCGTGGAAACAGGGCGCACACCTGCCGGATCCCCCCCACAAAAAAACCGCCCGAGCTGCCCGAGTGAATCGCACCTTGCCCTGGCCCCTGATCTCGGGGGAACACGCGCATGTCCTCGAAGCGGAAATGCTCGCAGAAGTACAGTGGGTCCCTACGGAGTAGGTGGACCTGATCAGAAAACTTGCCCTTCTGCTTCATGCGTTGGAATGCAAGATCATACGCGTCGCGGACCGCGGTGATACATGACTGGATGCGTTGTCTTCTTCGGCCCCAAACATGTGCAGGTGCTTGAGTCTATTACCAAACATGCTTGAAATATTTGCGCGGTGGGTTCCGCTCTTGACACGCGGAAATGTTGACCCGCACAAATCGACGCGATGGCAAAGGTGATCCACGGCACCCAGCACATTATCGGCAAAGACATTTTGTCCCTCATATGACCCAGGGCTGCAGTTTAGCCTCCTGAGAAAACCACGCATCTGACCGCTGTGCCCAAGGGCATCAGCTTTGGCACGCTGCTCCTGGGTGAACTTGTCTGGATGGGCGCGAAAAGCTCCGCCGCGAATCAAGAACGCAACTCGCCGATTGCCTGGGGCCCGCGCTGCCTTTCATGAGTGTTCGCCGCCTTTGCGGCAACTTCGCGCAACCGTTCCGTCGCGCGGCGCGGCCCGGGCCAGCAGCGCAAGCACGCCGAAGGAGCTCCCTGCCAGCGCGAGCAGATCGGCCAATCCCCCTGCGAGTCGGATCTACCTTGCGACCCAGACCGCCCCCATGAGACCAGACCCGCGGTTTGCTCTCAAAGTTGGGGCTCTTTGAAGGACGCCCCAGTGGACAATCTCGTCTGTGCTCTCCAAATTCTCACAGCTGCAGACCTGGTGCAAATTTTCTTCTCGATCCTTAATGATGGCCCTTTTTTCGCGTCCCTTCTGTCAAACGCGAGGGCCGACTTAGCGCCATAACCTCCATCCCGCGTGCGCCAGTTGCTCTTCTGTGAGATACGCAGGCATGTCGGAATAATCTGGGGCACCAGGTTCCTTCGCCTGATGAAGCGTCGGCGCCTGTACAAGAAACAAATTCAGACTCGGCGGTTTGCCCCGCAGAGCCTGCAAGGGCAGTGGCTTAGGCAGGGCCGCCGTTCCCGACCGCCCCTGATAGCGAGCCCAAGAGTCTCGCGACCCCGTAGGCTGGCCACCATGTTGGCTTAATAAGGCTGTGGCTTCAGTTGGCTGTGGATCATCGTTCCAGAAATTGGTTGCAGGTTGCCCTGCGTCAGTGCCGGCGCGAAAGGTTTCAGCACGGCGACCGCGGCTAAATACACCACCAATGTTATCGGGGGTTTGCTCAGCACTGTGAGCATAAGGCATCGTGCGCTGCAGTACGTTGGTTGCAGGTTGCCCTGCGTCAGTGCCGGCGCGAAAGGTTTCAGCACGGCGACCGCGGCTAAATACACCACCAATGTTATCGGGGGGGGGGTGCTCAGCACTGTGAGCAGAAGGCATCGTGCGCTCTAGTAGAGAAACAAACAGTTCCTGGGTCCTTGGCGCTTGGTGGCTGCGTGGTTGCAGCATTTGCTGCGCGCGCGGCGTACCCAAACCCCGAGCTCTAAATAGGATGATTGTTAGGATCTGGAAGTTGGCGATATTGAAGCTTGCAATCTCGGCCTCGAACCGTTCCCTTTCAAAGCGCGCCACCGTCTGGTCGATCCGCTCTCCCGCATGGACGCGAAAGTCGATGGGGGCCGTGCCTGAATTCAGTTGGCGCTCCTCCTTGAAATGTTCGAAGTTCGTGCTGAGGAGGAACATGATGTTGGTGGCGCCTTCAGCGCGGCGTCCACCAATTTCCACGCCAAAGTTAATGATTCCAGAAGGTACTCTCGTGGTTATGGTCCTTGCGAGTCCTCCCAGACCACGCTGTAATGCTGCGGCATGTTGGGAGGGGTCATGGTACCTGTGGCCACGTTGATCAAAGCGTGTACCTCTAGAACGAATTCGCGAAGGGTGCATTGCCGGCAGGGCCCCAGTGGGGGCTGGCAGTACGCGCGTCGTCGCTGACACGCTGCATGTGCCCAACAGTGCGCCCGCTAGCGACCCATAGGAGGCCAAATATGGTAACGCACATCGAATGGCCCCTGAAGTCGTGGTCGGATGTTCGTGGCTGTGGGTTATGATGTGTCGTAATTGACCTGCGTGGTAGTGGAGGCGGCACAATGTCGTACCGCATGTTACCATGAATGGTGTCTTCAAACAAGCTTCCAATTTGAGTAGGGGGGTGGACTTCAGGAGTGCAGTAGAGCAGGGATGTAGGACCCATGTAGGACGCCTGCGCGAGAACGGAGGTAGCGCTGCAAGTGTCCTTGCGGTTGTGCGTAGATATGTACATTCCCCCGCGCAAACCCGCTGCACCTTGATGTTCCACCATGTCAGTGGACCACCATATGCCATCTCGTTTACCAAGTTTGAAAGGGGGCTGGGAGGCCCAACGAGAAGCTTCGCCTAAGGCGAAGCCAATGTCCAACTCTTGTTGTACCGTAGTAGCGATAGTCCCAGAAGTAGGAGATCGTCGCGGGAGGGACGGGCCATGTCAAGCGAATATGTTTTCGGTTTCAATGGCAAGTAGTGTGCCTCGCGATGAGGCGCAGTCATATGTTGGCGGCCGGCCACTTGAGCACAAACGGCCGTGCACAAACGTTCGCTAACTCTCGCCTTTGCCCAAGCCTCCTTTAGAGTTCCAGAAGCCTCCAAGACGCCCAAGACGGTCTGCAAAACGGCCAAGGTGGCCTCCAAGATACTTCCAAGACGGACAAGATGAGCTTCAAGACGGCCAAGATGGCCGCTAAGACGGCCAAGATGGCCCAATATGGGCCCGAGAGGTTCCAATATTGCCCTAGAGGAGTCCAAAAGGTGCTCCAGGAAGGCCCGAGGGCGCCAAAACCTTGAATGTTCCTTTCGTTTTCGAATAATTTGGGTGTTCCCTCGGTTTTGGTTCCCCGACCCCCTAAAACGGCCCAAGGGGACCCAACACTAGTCCCTGAGGCCTTCCAGGTGGCTCCAGAATGGCTCAAGAGGCCTTCAAGCCAGCCCCAAGAGGACCCCAAGACGGCCCAAGGGGCTTCAAAAATTGCCAAGATGGTCTCCAGGATACCTCAAGCCTGCCAAGATGACCTCCAAGACGACCAAGATGGCATCCAAGACGGCAGAAATACCCCCACGAGAGCATACCCCCACGAGAGCCGAAGGTGGCCCAAGAGGCCCCAAGACACCCAAAATGGCCTCCAAGACGGCCAAGATGGCCTCCAAAATGCCTCCAAGACGGCCAAAAAACGCCTCCAAGACGGCGAAGCTGGCCCCAATATGCACCCAAAACGGCCCCAGGTGGCCTGAAGATCGCCTTAGGCTGCCCAAGAGGCCCGCCAGATGCCTCCAAGACGGCCCAAGACCCCTCCAAGACGTCCTACAGGAGGCCCGAAAGCTCGGAAACCACCTGGTCCGATAGCTCGCCCGACTCATTCTTCCCCGAAGGCTTTCGAAACCCACTCGGGGAACGCGTGGCCCGATAGCGTGGCCAAGCTCAAACCCAACTTTCGGCAACGCAGGCGCTTCCAAAACGGCAGGGGGCGGCGGTGATTCGCCGTAGGCGTCTTCGATAACGCCAACGTCTCAATATTCGCTGATGATTCCTCTATGCGCCCCCGCATGATGTTCCCAAATGCGCCACGGCAGCGCCGAGACGCACCGGCGCGACTCTGGTATTCCCATTATGATAGAGAGGGGGCCGGCGGCAGGGGGCGATGTCCTTAGGGATATGCCTTGATCCCTCTTTGCTTCTCGACTGCCCCTTCATCAGATCTTCTTGGAGGAAGAGCTACTGAGAAGAGAAACCGATGAGATACAAGATGAGAGGCGTGATCATGAGAATGCGGAGGATGCGGATCATCAGGATGCGGAGAGACAGGATCATGACAGGTGAGTGCAGGTGGAGGCTGGGAGGAGGAGGAGAAGAAAGAGGGACAAACACGCTCTTCCAGCGGCGCACCTGCCGTGACACATTCCGCACGAACCCCCAAATGGATACATCCACACAGGCGCCTTGCGGTCCCCAGACATTGATGAGCAGGGCTGATCACACGTAGGGGCTTAGAGCACCCTTTTGATTTTATAAACTGTATGAGCTGTGAGCTCGATCTGGTGAACCTGGGCGATCATTCAAGGGGCACGTGCAACGCACCTCGACGGCCGACTGCCCTGCACGGAGAGGCGCTGCAGCACCCCGCACGCGAGCGCATGGCCGTGCTGACAGCGCGTGCATCCTTGCATTGACTGCCTCCCAGACCACCCCAACCCAACCCGAAGACCCGAGTTTCGGGTCGGGGGGGGTGAGGGTTCCACATGTGTTTTTTCGATGTTTCCCGACCCCCCCCCCACTGGAAATCGAGGGTAAATCTGAGCCTTCGGGTCGGGTTGGGGTGGTTTGGTGGGTGGTGATGCACGGCAGCGAAGAGCCGCGCGCGGCCGAGGGAGCGGCGCTCCCGTTGACGGCATCCGACACGAGGAGGTACTTGGTCGGCGGGGCGTAGCCGGAGGCGGCGGGCCACGCGCCGAGCAGCGCGGCACACAGTGCCTCGGGAAGGGCTACCTGCCAGGCCACCCCAGCCCAACCCGCAGGCCCGAATTTCGGGTTGGGGGGGTGCAGTCGGGGCGTTGACCTAAGGAACCCTACATAAGGAACGAGGCCCCTTTTTTCCAAAAGGTGAACTTCGATGTCCCATGGAAAACCTCTGGAAAACCCGAGGCGAAGCGTAAAACAATCAAGGAACACCAAGCCCCGACCCATCGAAAAGGGTTCCTTCTTCAGCGCCCCGACTGTAAGGGTTTCATCTGTGTTTTTGTCAGTGCTCCCCGACCCCCCCCTCCCCCACTGGAAATGGAGGGCAAATTGAGGCCTTCGGGTTGGGTTGGGGTGGTTTGGCAGGTGGTGCGGAAAAGGGATAGGGGGGGACGCGTCCTCCTCTCCCTGGGTGAGATCAAGGCTTCTCAAGTTGCTCCCATCGTACGTAATGGCCACATCCCAGAAATGATTCCGAGCACCCGGAAAAGTGTCGAAAGAGCGTCGAAACAGCGTCGGGCTAGTGTCCCCCAGGGCCCGACGCGTGAAACCCCCTTAGCTTCGGCACTTTCTTTGATGCTCCCAGCTCATCCTCATCCCCATCCTCAGTAAGACAGATTCTAGAACCGTCGAGCGCACAAGTCAAGGCTGACATCAACAACCACATGCAGATACAATACATCTTGAGCGTGCCGCGTGCCAACATTCGATTTCTTGCTGATGCCGCAATCATCGACATGTTCTTCCAGGACGGGCGTCGCAAGGTCCGATATTCCGATGAGGCGCCGTCATGGTACAGTGTGTGACCCCGATATACCCAGTCTGGGGCTCTGTTGACCAGTGGAGACCCCTCCGCCCCGGTCCTGCTGGTCTTTTATCCCTCCCTCACCTCTTTTTGGCGGCGAGCGAGGGGGGGAAGGGAGAAGGAGAAGGCCTCCTCAGAAGGCGGCGGGACTCCTCGTAAGCCCTCGCGCCTTCTGAGAAGTCTCCTGTGCCTCCCGGGAACGCTTAGAAAACTTCTCGGAAGGCCCGGGGACTCGCGAGCCTTCTGAGAGGGCGCGCCCCTTCTGACTTCCCCCCCTCGCTCGCCGCCGATCTCTTGCTCTGGGGGGGCCTTCGGGGCGGGGTCCGCCGTGGTGGGGCGGAGGAGCGGGCTCGCCCTCGTGTCTCTCTCCCGGCACGGGGTCCCCGCCACCAGCCCCGCCGCGGCGCGCTTCACTTCCCTCCGGGGTCGGGGTCTGGGGTCCTGCTGGGGAGACGAAGGGCTGCCTCTTTCGGCCCGCAGCCGCTGTTCCACCAGTGCCGCTACCAGTACCAGTAGAACACATCCAAAATTGCAGCTCACACGTCAGGGCTTGCGACTGGCCCGACTGCTGGCGATTGCGACAAAGCGAGATCCCACTGTGCTCCATTCATCCCCTCTCTCTCCGACCCCTGCCTCTCACAACCCCTCTGCATCCCCCCTACCAATCTGCCCCCCAAACAATCCACTTCCTCCTACGCCCTTCATCCTCGCCAACCCCCTGCTCCACCTCCTGATGCTCCTTTCCTCGCTAACCGTCTTGTCGCTTCCATGTCCTTCTGCCTTTTCCCACTCACGCGACTGAGCCGCTACCATGCCGTTGGCACTGAGCGGAGTGTCGACAATTCCCTTCAATATATCTCACTCATCGGTATTGGGCGTTGCAAATGTTCTGCGAGTGGGCTAAGGCCGCGAGTTCAAGACGCTTCCGAGCTCCGTTGCTCGTTCTCGTGGTGTCTCGCATGTGCCTAACTAGCCGTTTGCGAAAAGTGACCAGGGAAGCTCGCGTGCTGTACGACTCACGGGGTAGATTTGAGTGAGGGGGCATGTACCTTGGGAATGTCATGGAAGAACAACACAAAATACAACGATGACTACGCTGGGCGGGCACCAGGTGGACAGATGCGGGAAAAGAACGGAGAAACGGGAAACAAGGAGAAATGAAACAAAACAGGAAGATGGCAGGAAGTGAAGAGCAACGGGGAAAGAAGGGAATGAGAAAAGAGAAAAGTGAAACTAGTTCAAGAGTGTAGCGGAAGCCTTCGAAATACGAGTCCAGAGGAGGGGCGCGAGCCTGGAGGAGAGGGAGGGGAGGAGAGAGAATAGAGGGAGGCGGGACGGAGAAGAATAAAGACGAGGAGCGAGGGCGAAGAAGGAGACAGGCGGCCGATGCCGCATTGCCCTCAGAAATGAGAGACGGCGACATCTCACTCTGTACAGGGCGGCAAACTGCTTCGCAGTTCGCAGCAGCAAGGGACGGCGAGATCACGGCTTAAGATGTGCACGGTTGCACTATGCTGACCACTCCGAGAACGACGGCGACGTCTCATTCCAGTCTGGGTAGCACCGCACTGCGCGGGACCCGCCGTAAGCCCACGAACGTGGCGCGATTCTAATTAGCAGTTCGCAGTCCCCGGGGGACGTCGAGGTCTCATTCTGGTCTGGGTTGGACGTCGCCGTGGTGGACCCTCCCCCCCGGAGCCCACGAAAGTGGCAACGGTTTCGTAGATCGCAGCCTCATCAGCGACGGCGAGGTCTCACTCTGGTCCGGCTGCCACCGTACTGCGCTGGAACGTGCAACGAAAGTGCAGACTGGTCTGCAGTTCGCAGCCCCCAGACGGCGAAGGTCTCATTCTGATCTTGGAATCGTCGCACGACGCTGGGCCCCCCAGCAGCCCACGAACGTGGCGGTGGTTTCGCAATTCGCGGTCCTCAGGGACGGCGAGGTCTCAGTCGTAGCGCCGTGCTGCGCTGGACCCGCCGGGAGCCTGCGAAGGCAGCAACAGTTTCAGAGTGCGCCGTCCTCACGGACGGAGGGGTCTCACTCTGGTCCGGGTGGAGCGCCCCCACGATGGACATCCCAGGAGCCCACGAGAGCGGCAGTAGCTTCACACCTCGCATCCCCCAGGGACGGCGAGGTCTCTGCGGCCACAATTTCGCAAATCGCAGCCCCCCAACGACGGGGAAACTTCGCCTGATCCGCCTTGGAACACGGAAGTCGCGACGGTTTCGCTGATCGCTGCGCCCCTGGGAGCGGCGAGATCTCAACAGATCTGCCGGCAGGACGTCACTACGATGGCCGCCCAGGAGCCTACGACAGAGGCGACTGATTAGCAGATCACAGCCTCCCAGCGACGGCGAGATCCCCCCTGACCTGCAACAGAACATCACAACCATGGACCCCCCAGGAGCCAACAAAAGAGGCGACGGCTTCGCACGTCGCAACCCCCAGGAAAGGCGAGGTCTCACCACATCTGGTGTAGGACGCCACTGCACCACACAGAAGCACCCCCTGAACACGGCGAGCAGCGCGGCTGCGAGGGACAGGGGGCCCGCCCGTGGAGCCTGCCAAGAAGCTCGTGGAACACGAAAAACGTGATGCCGCCAAAGGAGTCCCTCCATCATTAAGGTGCTCACTCCGTCCTGGCCAAACCGCCAAAAGCGGATCAAGCGACGCGCGCCTTGACGCGCCAGAGGCCCACCAAAGATGCGGCAGATTCGCCCAGTGCAGCCCCCCAGGGACGGCGAGATGAGCTTCTGGCACGGCTGCCTCCGCACCCTGGCGGCACCAGGAGCCCACGCGAGCCGCGAGCATGGCGACATTCTAGCGGTTCGCAGTCCCCGGGGGACGTCGAAGTTTCATTCTGGTCTGGGTAGAACGTCACCGTGGTCGACCGCCCCCCTGCGCCAGGAGCCCATGAAGTTACGGGTTCGCTGATCGCAGCCCCTCAGCGACGGCGAGGTCTCGTTCCGGTCCTGCTGTCACCGCACTGGGCTGGACCCGGCCCGCAGGAGCCCACGAAAATGGCAACACTTTCGCGGACCGCGGCCCCGAAAGGACAGCGAGGTCTCGTTCTGATCTGGGTAGGGCGTCACTGCGACGGACTGCCCAGGATCCCACAAACGGTGGCGACTGTTTCGCAGACCGCGGCCCCCGAGGCGACGGCGAGGTCTCCTCGGATCGACCGCAGGACGCCACGGCGCCAGAACTCCAAGTAGCCCAGGAGAGTGGCGACAACCTCGCAGAAGCGACGAGGTCTCATCTGCTCTGCTGAAGGACGTCGCTGCGCCGCACACCCCAGGAGCCCACGAGAGGGGGCGATGGTTTCGCGGATCGCAGCCATCCCAGGGGCGGCGAGTGTTCATCTGCTCTGCCGTAGGACGTCGCCGCGCCGGACCCGCCAGAAGCCTCTGAAAACTGCAGCGGCTTCGCAGATCGCAGCCCTCCAAGGACGGCGAGGTCGGAGGCAGGGTGGAAGAGAGAAGGAAGAGAGAGGGAGGGAGGGAGGAAGGCGGGAGGACGAGAAGACGGCAGCAGTTCTCTTTCCAAGACGACAACCCAGCACATGAGAGTTGAGAGAAACGCTTGGAATACGTTGCCCGAACGCACGGTGGCGGGATGCGCAGAAGAGGATTACGTCCGCTGCCCCTGTTGATTGTCATCAACTAGGTGCCAGCCGTGCCAAACGTTGGTTGATTGTTCTTGTTGTTCAAAATTTCAAATGGGCCTTCGGCTGATTCCGCGGGCACAGAATAAGGACCCATCCCATAGACTCTAGTTTCCCAGGTCGTCGGGTGTCCCGCTCCAAATTGCCCCAAAATGGCCTCCAAGACGGCCGGGATAGTATCCAACACGGCTACGATGACCCCAAGACAACCCAAAAAGACCTCAATATGTTTTCCCAAGACGGACCCGGATGATTATCGGACGGCCCAACATCGGGCCGTTATGGCCCAAAACGGCCCACAAGGCCCCCAAGAGGCCTCCCGCAGCGTTTTCACAACGACTGGCGAAACCATGATCCGACGGCTTGACCGAACTCTGGCCACAACGGTCGGCCACATAGGCGCTTCCTAAGGGCAAGGGGGGCCATTGATTCGCCGAAGGCGTCTTCAATCCGCCGCCCCGCTGGCTTGCCACATGGGTGCACGGCGTCTAGGGTTTTAGGCAGTTCGTAGCTCTTCAAGACCATCCCACTGGAATCTCGGCCCA